CCAACTAACTAATAAACAGAAAATACATGGTAGTTTCAACGAGTGGTTGCCAGAGTATTATAATATTAACATTTTAACAAACAAAATAAGACTTAATTCTAAACATATCTCCCACCTAGAAGTGGAACGCAAGCGGCTCCACCGTCTATGTGTCTTACAGAAATACAAGAATAGTATAATTTCATATATGAACATTCTACTAGAGTGTTGTCGATTTATTGCAGCATGACAGCCTCAGGCCCTGCTTCAATAGCAATCGGTAGAACAGATATTTTACTTATCGGCTTTTTCAAAGTTGTTGTTTGCGTTCTTATCGTCAAAACGCGAGTTGCGTCTGCGACAGGATGGGTGTGAATAATGCGGTGAAGTAACCATTGATTTGGTGGCACTCTTTCATTTCGAATCAACACCAACTGTCCAATTGCGACATCTTTTTCTATTTCATTCCACTTGTTGCGCACTTGTAATTGGGATAGGTACTCTTCATGCCACCGACGCCAAAAGTCTTGGTAAATCTGGCTTAATAATCTCCATCGAAACAATGCGCCTATTTTTGTGTTCAATATATTTGATTCTGGTATAGTTGTTGGCGCTTGTCCGATCAGAAAGTGACCTGGTGTGAATACTGACAGATCACTGGGATCATCAGATAGAGCAGTGAGCAGTCGCGAATTCAAACAACTTTCAATTTGTTTTATGAGTGTGTGGAGTTCTTCAAACATTAAAGACGCGAAATTGATCACCCGTTTTAGATGAAATTTCATAATTTTGACTCCAGCTTCCCAAAGGTCCCCAAAGTTCGGAGCCGCAGGAAGAATAAAATGCTAATTCATGCTAATTGTTGAGGCGTACACAGAGCCAGCTTCCAGCTGGTTTCTTAATAATCGTAGTTCATCCTTCATTAGAGCATCAGCACCGACAAATGTTTTGCCGCGATCACTGTATATATCAGAACATATTCCACGAATGAATACAAATCGCTTTAAGGCGGCTAGAAACGTTTCTGTTGTCATATCGCTCACGAGTTTCAAATGAATGGCACGCGTAGCGCAACATATGAATGGTAATGAAGCGTTACATCGCTCTAGCGACAGGTTACCCATGATTTGTGTTTTAGGACGGCAAGTTTGACGGAAACATGGGATGCACTTATGACTTACGCTCTTTACAGCCGATCTCCCACCAACAACCCAAAATTGCCTTCGTACATAGGCCAATGTAGCTTGTGTTCCTACATGTAACGTACGATGGTGAGCTTGAATAATGACCATTGTAGTAAATGGATGATGCTTCGGAAAGATCATGAGGACCTTTTGTTTACAGGAATGTTTGCATTTTTTAGGCGGCCACTAAGGCGCATGGTGCATTCAAAATCAATTACAGGACTCAATTTGATAAGTTTACTTGATTTGCTGATTGGCTTCTTATTCAGTAAAGCAATGTATTCGTTAGAAAATTCACTTTTTGTACAATTATGTGGTTTTCGTTTTCGAGATACAGACCCATTACTCCAAGCAGTTTGTCAAGGCTAGCATATCTTTCAAAAATTTTCCATATAACTGCTGGTAATTGGGTAGCAAAGGTAAATTTTCCGCAGCCTGCTTGATATTATATTGCTGCCACAAGTGTTCATCTAAACGAATCCAGGATGGTCCGTACCACCACGTGATATTGTCCTTTAAGTGCATAACTGTACTTCCTCGTGAAGCGCAGTCTACTGGATTATCATTTGATGCAATGTATCTCCAGTCGCCAATTGTGTTTCTTTAACCTTGCATAAAAATTTTGCCAGGAACCCAAGAGAATCAAAGAGTTTGGCTATATCCGACAACAATAATCGCTTGGTGTAATGATGGTTGTCAAAATCTAAATTGCTTTTAAACCCAAAATTATCGGAATTTGTAAACCAAATAAGTCCTAGTGCTTTCAATTCACCTTCTTCGTTAATTTCTATCGTGTCACTACGAGCCTTCACGTTATCTTCAAGAGTATTTAGGACTTCAGTAAAATTGGAGTCACATTTTCGTAAATTAAAACCAGCAGTTGCTAATAGTGTCTGGATTTCATGTGATTTTTCTGCCGCTTCCGTAGGATTGGCTCCTCCTGACAGCACATCATCAACGTAGAATTCTATTAAAATTGAATTTGCAGCTTTTGGAAAGCGGACTTGTTCATCTTTTGCCAACGTGAGTAAGACTTTTATTGCAAGAAATGGGGCACAATTTGTGCTATATGTTACAGTGCGTAACCGAAGCGTTGTGGGCACTGACGACGCGTGCCCTATCTGGAAGGGTGTGCGGCCCTTCTTTAATGTTGTTTTTACATGTACCAATTATATTAAAATATATGAGATCTTTTATTAATAATAACTATATTATATAAGGCAATAATATAGTCGCAATATTATATTAACAATTCATTAACAAAAGAACATATTAAACAAATTAAATTAATAATTTATATATATACTTGTAACATCAAACCAACTTTTTTCAAACAAAAGAGTTTTAACTCAGAACCATACATGTTTATCCAGTGATCAAACAAAATCAAACCCACTTGCAACGTACAAATGTGTAAGAACAGAAATTCGTGGGTGCTACTGTTAAAAGGGGAGAGACGAAATGTGATAGAAATGTATGCTGAGATGAGCTGCAAACTTCAGCCGCTCATGCAACCACTTTGGCAAATCATCATGTTGGATTCGTATGTGTGCAGTTGATATTCGAGTAGAACAGAAAATTACTCTCATACAATTCCCACTACATAAATCTCTATCTCTGATATTACAAACGGGAGCACACGCACAGAGAGACGAAATATAATAGAAATGTTCTGTGATTTGAGCTGCAAATATATGAGCACAACTAACAAGTATAGCGGCTAACAGAAGCAAATTAATTGAGTTTTCATAGACAATTATAATTAATTGTTTTTGCTAAAACTTTAAAAATATATATTTATATGGAAATGTAATAAATAATAATAATTCTTGATGTGAAGATACTTAATAAATTTATATTTCAATGTTATTTGACATTTTGCAAATTATGTTAGGGTGTTCACCGCACACCTCCGCACCTTAGAGCAATCGTCACTGGTTGTGGGTACTTTTTCAGGTTGAATACGCCATATGATATGCTGTAAATCTGCATCTTTGGTATGAAGGAGAATTTGACGGCACATTTTCTAAATATCACCAGTAAATACTACTGGGTACATTCGCCATTGCAGTATGATATTCTACAAATCATTCTGCGGCTTCGGTTCTATATGGAGGCAATCATTAAGCGATATTCCACTCGCACATTTTTTGGATGCATTAAAAACGACGCGTAGTTTCGTGGTAGAACTTCGATTCGATTAATCTAAATTTTGAACCACCACCATGTGGCCATATGCTTGGTGTTCATACATGAAGTCATAATACAATTTATTCAATGCCGGATTTCGAGACAGCCGTCGTTGCGCACTGTCTAGTAATGCCAGCGCATCGTTCTTACTAGACTTAAGTTTTTGTAAATCCGCATTCTTCTTCAGCGGAAGTCTGACAACATATCGACCAGTGTCGTTGTGTACACTGGTACGTTCAAAAAAGTTTTCACAAAATATTTCATCGTTTGTCAACGCAACATGATTTGTCACTTCTTCTAATTCCCAAAACTTCCGCAAAGTATCGTCTAAGGAAATTTGGGTATAATACCACTTAGTTCGGCTTTTACACGATCCGTGTTTAGGTTCAGAAAATCCACCAAATGATGTAATGATGTTGTTTGTTAAATTACGTTTCACTTCATGAAATACAACGACAGCGTAATCCGAAGCGATCATAATGATGTCTATCGGACCTGGAACATGTAACTTTGGATCAGCTAAGTCTAAATTCAAAAAATCTTCAAAATATTGCTCCCTGCAAGGGATGAGCAATATTAATTGCTAATTGATTCCAAAAGCAGGCAAGCCGCTAGAATGCATATCGCCATATAGACCAATTTAAATTTTACCAACCATTTCGAAACTCTTTGAAAAGCTATTCTACAAGAGACTAATGCCTGCTATAGAATTCGAAAAGCTAATACCAAACCATGAATTTGGTTTTCGTGGCAAGCATTCGACTATAGATCAAGTA